TGCTTTTGCTGCTTTTCAACTCGAATTCAACCTGTTTCTAACTCACCGAACAGGTTTTGTACAATTCACCGTGATTCTTGCCTCAGTAGATCAATAAAGATTTTTGTGAAAACATTCAAATGCCCTCTTTGAATTTGTTGTTCCTGCTGAACACCTTGGGGTTTGTAGGCGTTTCTTACAATGATTTTGCAGGAATTCTGCAGTCACTCTAAGAAAAGCTTACCGGCAGACGTACACAGATGCCGAACCGTCTTTAAATTGACCTATAGGAAAGAAGCTGACCCCTTTGGAGAGATTGAAGGACAGCACGTCTTATTTGCATAATGGGGCAGATATGTGTGAGAAAAACTGAAAAGAATAGAAAGGCGCTGAACACGGCCCACTCTGACCCAATGTTCCCGACCTCCACCAGAACATGATCAAAGCTCTCACCTCCGAGAACTCTGCAAGGCGCTCCCACTAGACCCTCACAACACGTTTGGGCCTCCCTGGTCTCACCGGCATCCTCCCCCACCATCGGAGCCAACTCACCACCACGTAGTGGTCAGTGGAAAGCTCCGCCCCCCTCTTCACCTGAGCGTCCAAGACATGTGGCCAAAGATCAGCCGAAACAACAACAAAGTCGATCATTTAACTGCGGCCTAGGGTGTCATAGTGCCAAGAGCCCATATGGACACCCTTATGCCTGAACATGGTGTTCGTTATGGACAATCCGTGCCGAGCACAGAAATCCAACAACAAAACACCACTCGGGCTCAAGCTGGGGGGGCCATTCCTACCAACCACGCCCCTCCAGGTCTCACTGTCATTGCCCACGTGAGCGTAGAGGTCCCCCAGCAGAACAATGGAGTCCCCAGGGGGGTTACCCTCCAGCACCCCCTCTAAGGACTCCAAAAGGGGTGGGTACTCTGCACTGCTGTTAGGCGCATAAGCACCAACAACAGTCAGCACCCGTCCCCCCACCCGAAGGCGAAGGGATGCTACCCTCTCGTTCACCGGGGTAAACCCCAACATACAAATGGGGGGAACGAGTATGCCCACTCCTATTTCTGCTCACCGGGGGCAGCTCCAGAGTAGCAGAGCATCCAACCCCTCTCGAGAAGGCTGGTTCCAGAGCCAGAGCTGTGCGTCGAGGCGAGACCGACTACGTCCAGCAGGAATCTCTCCGCCTCGCACTCCAACTCAGGGTCCCTCCCCCTCAGAGAGGTGACATTCCACGTCCCTAGAGACAGCTTCTGCAGCCGGGGATCGGTTCACCAAGGTCCTCAACTCCGGCTGCCACCTGTTCCACATTGCACCCGCCTGAATATGTTGCGCCCTCTGCTCCGATAACTTGGGAGAGGTACGTGGTTACTTTTGAGTTAAAATGAATAACGGAGATGCTGCCGACGTCTTCGCTCACTTAAACTTTATTCAAAAGAACAACAAAACTTTTCTGCGCAAGCGCAAAACACAGTTCTCTGCTGGGCAGAAATCGATCCACGAATCAACGAACTCGATCGAAATTGTAAATAGCGTACCTAATATTAATACTTTCAGTACTTTATTACCGTTACTCTTAAACAATCATGCCAAAATGATAATTATTAAATATGAATTATTTTTAACTCTTGTTTTTAACTGAAATATCAGTATTTTAAACCTGTGTATTTTAATCTGTCCCAACACACTTAGACAATTTCAACCCGTCACAAATATTATTCTAAAAGTGAACACTTTTTCTTTGTCATCCAAGTTTGAACTTTTACAGGTCTTTAAGGTAGGCCTATACACATTTAGACTTATGAGACTGTTTTAGGTGAATTTTGTTGCTTTTAATGAATTTTTTTTAAAAAGTAAAGTAAAAATAACCCACAAACTATAAATGTTTTATTCCTCTCCCTTTCCTGAAAATAAGAAGGGAAATTAACAGTGGCACACACAAGGATAACAGGCTTGGAAAAAGGGAAATTATTAATCCGACTACACTATGAAAGGTTACTGAAGAAAAAATAAATCCTTTAGCAAAGGCAAAATATGGCTATAAAAAATAACAAAACAAAAGATCACTCTGCTAATTGGAGGAATATAAACTATGAAAGTTATGACAAAATAATAATCACTCGAGAAAATAGAGGAACCACGAGGCGATGAAACGGTACAACAGAAAGGTAAACCAAGACGCTATGAAAAAAAGTCGATAAACGATCCGAGACTG